ATTACGACTAAGAATCAGTTTTAGAATTAATTCTAGGATATCTCAAAAATTAGTATGCATCTTAGGCTTGACAAGCTTGTAGCCTCATATATTTCGTCACTTTGTTCCTTAATATTCGAGTCTACTTCTAAAGGCAAGCAATATAACATAAATATTAGTATACATAGAAGGTTTGCAAAGACTCTATGAGCTTGATTTCGAACCTTTGGTTCTTACCAATCTCGTGTCGTCTCATAGGCAAATAGAATGGTATAATTTTTTTAATATCTTTGGTGGGTTTAAAATCGCGCTAAAAATGATATATCAATTTGGTTGATTTTAGTTTCTGAAGCTCAAATTTTATAGTAAGGAGATTGATAACGAAATTGAGCGCTGGTGTAAATTTTAGATCTGAATTCTATATTATGGATTCATATAGCTAGAAGGGCTTCTGGCCTATGTTTGGGATCTTTCTGGATATCTTTTTTGGATTTTGACCCCAAAACTCCCAAATTTGCCTTACTAGTGTACTACTTCTAAGAATTTCTTTTATTCATTTGTATTTAATTTATCTTCAAACTGTATGGTAAATATGAATTAATTGTTTAGAGTATATTTTTATTTTACATTCATAAAAAAATATTTTTGAATATTTATTATTGTTCAGAATTTCCTAATATCTTTAAGTTTATACATTTCAGAAAAATATTTGTATAATATAATGCTATTATTAGAAGATGTATTTTATAAAATATTATTAATATATATCAGAAAGTTAAGTATAGGTAGTAATTATTCAAAATCTCTGAAAAATTATGAATCTATCATAAAATGGTGATTTATTTTATTCTTGAGAAATGCTTGATATAACCATATGTTAATTATGATAAGCATTCCTTTTTTAACTATACTTTTCTTATTAATTATTATGTACTGCACTTTATTTAATCTTTCTTATAATTGCTTTAGGTATTTTCCATTAATATTGAACTGTTTTTATCATTAATTATTAGGATAGAAAGCATTAAGTACATTATCACATCATTAATATTGAATGCTACTATTACTGTAAGTATTAGTATAACTACTGGATTTTTGAATTCAATTTAAGCCATTATTCATAATCTCCTTCAAATTATCTTGATAAAATATGATTTACCTATATCTACTGTTTCTATTATAATCATCTTTAATACTTTAACCTATTTGTCTGTAAGTATATTATAATAATGTAATTCTATTTATTTATACATTAATTTTTAATTTTATTCAGTATTTGATAATTTATAAAATTATTACTTTCACTTTATTTACGTAATTTCAATATTTATCTAAATCTTATTGTATAAAATTGTAAATTTCTATTAGATTATTAATAAAATAATACTAATATTTCATTAATCTAGTTATAATTCTGATTAACTTTTAAGTACTTAGGTTGATCAAAGAATTTATATTCATATAGTCCTTAGCAAAAAAATGATGAAAAGTTTTTTTTAAATTATATGATGTGAGACACCTATACTCATCAAAAATATTATATAGTTTTTAAATATATATAATTTTCTAATTTGTATTACATTAAAAAATTAAACTAATTTTTATATAGTTTAAGTTGTTTTCTTTTGAAAATTTGGTTTACATTTTTGATTAGCTTAATTATTTAAAAAGTTATTAGAATTTAAAAATAAGATATATTATTATAAATTAAGCAAATTTAGACTAATTTACAGGAATATTTTTAAGGGTAATTTTATAAATTTACCAATAAAATACAAAATTATTTTCACGTGATAACAATTTATTATTAGAAATATTGTTCAAAAATTTTTTTAAAAAAAAAAATGCCACCTTTATTCAAGCAGAAAAAAAAATCAAAAAAGCAGTTATATATAATAAATAGCCAATATAAAATTAAATAAAAGTCTAAAAATAATTATAAATTAATGCTAGTTAATAATAATTATATAAAAAAAATTACAAAAAAAATAATTATAATAAGTATGATGAAATTGCTGATGCGTCTAATTCTCTTTACAATAATTTAATTTTAATAATATTTTAGAATTAGATGATGATGATAATGATGCATTAGTTAATGATTTTTTTAACGAAATTAAAGATTGAAGTGATAATAATGATAGTAAATAGAATGATCTAGAAAATGAGAAAGCTAAAATAAAAGAATTTAATTTAGTACAGAAAGATAATAATCAATTAGAAAAAATAAAGCGAGAACCATACAATTTAGGTAAAACATCAAAATTAACTTATTATAATAAATATAGTCCAAATAGTTTGTTAACTAAAGCAGCAACTAATACAAAAAAAATTACAAATTTCTTTAAAAAAAGTGATACTCAGGATATCAATCAAAATACAATAGAAGATACTTCAAATGATTCAAAAAGTGATATCATTAATCTATACACTTATCAATTAACTGAAAAAATAAAAGATTTGAAAGAACAATTAGAAAAATAATATAATCAGTTAATAGTTATAGAATACAATTATAAAAGAATAATATTCAAATATCTTACCTTATTAAAGGATGTAAAAGAATGGATATTAGTTTGGAGGTTACTCAAAAAATCTTTATTAATGGTGGTATATGAAAAGCATGAAAAATTCAAAACTTTATAAGATATTGGTTAATAAATAATAATCTTTTAGAATCTAGATACGAAAAATACTAAAAAAACAGTTAGAGTGATTGATGATGAAAATGTTGCAGAAAGATGTCATATATTGTCAACGGAAGAAATTGCAACTCCAAATATCACGTGGGATATGTCAATCAATAATGATCTCACGTTAGAT